TGCTAACTGAGTTTTATCTTAGTTCATTCAAAAATTCAAGTGCTTAACATATTCAACATAAGCAGCTTATAGCTGCAAATGTCTAATGAATTATGCAAAGACATTATAAAGATAAAAATGGCAGGAATAAAAGAACAGTTTTCAGTCTTGGCAGGACCTTACCTAATGGAGTCTTTCCTTTGGATTTCCTTTTTTTGGGACGACTGAGTGGAATTTCATCTGCATAACATAAAACAAAGTATGGGTGCACAACAAGGAGAAACCTCCATTTCCTTTTTTTAACAGCCGTGCTAATTTTAATTTAAGAAATAGATTATTTTTTACAAATTATGACATCCTTTGTTTTTACAGGTAAGATGACAATTCATTGGTTCACACAAGGAGGTAGAGAACAAAAGATGTTAGGAAAATAGGGTAAGAAATCAGAGCAAGAAGTCTCATGTGCAGCAAAGGCACAATACACACATGCACGTGTGTTAAGTGTTAAGTAATAAACTGAAATACTCTGAATAATGCTCTGAAAAATAAACTTATTGTTTAAAGCACTGGCAGCATTTCAGCTACTTTGATGGAAATAGCAAACAGTAAAGAGAGTGAAGAAAAACAACAGTTCTAACAATGAACAGGTATTCAGTTTAAATAATCAGCCTGCATTTAGGAAAAGAGAATGAATACCACCAAAAGGTACTACAAATGTTTGTAGTTCTCTTTAATAACTCACCTTGGCTTCCACTTCATATTGAAGAAGAAAAGTTGTTGATGAGCAGTGTAAAAAGATGAAAAGAAAGTTAATTTTGATTCAATTACAATTCACAACCATGAAATTCACACTGCTGCTTTTATGGTTAATTTCCTTATCCCCCCTCCTTTTTATGAGCAGTTGTGTATAAGAGGGTACGAAGCACTTTGTTGGTGACTATGCACAATTTCTTGATTGGCTAACTGTGGATCAGATTAAAAGCTTTAATCACCTGGCTAATTAAAACTTATCTTACTGCCTGGTATATAACAAACCAAGAAAAGTTATGAAACATTTGAGCCCATACATCACTAAAAAGACACTGTCTGTCAACAATCATAAAAATCACATTTACTGGCAGGTACTTTGAAGGAATTCTGAAGTACCATCTCATAAAAACTATATAATTGTTTTTCCTTTCACAGTGAAAAATAGCCCATTTTTTTCCCTATACTACATCAAACTAATGTATACCTAAATCTCAATTATAGAATATCTAGCCTAATTCCAGAAAGTCCTTTTTTAAAGAATTTGTGATTCAAATAAACTAAAGAACACAAAATAAAAGAAAGAGAGAGGAAAAAGAGATTAAAACAGACAAAAATTAAACTATATTAGATGTGGACATAGACTATGTTAAAACTAGAATATTTGTCTGAAAAGGGTTTTAGGGTTTAAAGGGCTTATCTCTCATGAGTATTAAAACTGGGGTAATATGGTAAAATTTCCTGGTTTCTATAAAACTTTAAAATGCTTTGCATTCCTTGTAAAGCATTTTGGGACAATAAATTAGCAAGAAAAGCAATTTTGCTACTCAGATGTTAATCAGACTTGTTTCTCTTAATGTTATTACTTTCAAAATCTGCAGTACAGCATCATGATCAGTTCCACAGAATGCAATGATTTTACCTTGGCACTGGAGGAAGGGCACGAGGTGGGCACTGAAAGACAAGAGAGAAACAAAAGTCAACTTCTGCCAGTATGAAACCACCTCTCAGAAAACAGCTGCAGATCAGAACGTCCAAGGTATGTTTTGCTCTGTATGCCTCCTAAATAGCCAGACATTCCTAATGAAGATGTTATATAAAAGCAAGATGTAAAAAATGCTGGAATAATATGCCTTTACCAGAGTTCTGATGGGCACTGCAGCAGGAACACACAGCTAACTTCTGTGCGTGCAGCACAGATTGCATTTCAGCTTCAACAATTTTCACATTTCATTTCATTTCACTTGCATTAGAAAGCTTATTAGTCATTCTATTTAAATAAATATAAAATATTGCAGTAATTTATGAATTCATTATAACTGTACAGTATACAACATGAGCAGAGTATTTTCTATTAATGAAGATGTAAATTCAGAGCAATAATAAAAACAATAAAAGAAAATAAGCTCGTTTATGAAAATACTTTTAAATATTGTAAAATATTATTTTTCCATATAATTTTGAACATATTTACCAGCAGGTCAAACACCAATAATCTGAAAGTATCTCCTGATAATAATCTGAAACTGAGCTTGTACCATTCTCTCATCTAGAAAAAGGAGTTGACTTTCAGATTTTGTACAACACAATTATGTTGAAAGAATAGATGCACAAAGAAATATTGCCCATGCTCAGAAAATTCAGATACCAGAAATAAAAAGGGTGTAAGGCTGGTATGACTCAAGGATCCACAAACTCACCACTTGTTTCTTTCCCATATCATTTGAAGTAGTTCCCTGAAAGAGGCACTGTGAACTGGTCTATGCTCCCTCACGCTGCTCACATTGAACCTCAGCTAATTCTGAACTAAAAATAAACTTCAGGCAGCCAGGATTAGCTGGACGTGAACCCTCCTGCCCCTGGGTCAGGACCCAGAACTACTCCCATTTGAAACAAGGGCAGGTTGTTCAAGAGCAGCTAATGTTACTTGCACTAAAAAACCCTTAACTCTGCATGCTGGTACAAATTCCTATAACCAAATTTTACATTGGTTTGTTTACCTAAAGCAAATGAGACGCCTCATGCAAGGAAGGGTTTGTGGGATTAGACTTCAAATCTCTCACTTGGATTTTGGCCATGCTGAAGACTGACAGCAAGTGCCATTTACACAGGTAGGGAACTGCACACCCTAAGTGGCACCCAACAAACAGGTGGGGACTGGTCACACTATATTGGTAAAGGTCATAAAGATCTCATTACTTCTATTGTTACCAACATTCTTGTGGCAGTAAATATTAAATGCTTAAGATACTTGCTATTTAAAAAAAAATAAAAGCTAAAAACCCCATAAAAACAAACAAAAGCCACAATCCTTTTACACAGCATTCACTGCCTATACAGTAGTAATTCTATACTCTGTAGTACCTCTCTATTTTGTTACCTTCTACAAAACAGCTGGCAAGTGCATTGATTTCTGTATCATTTATCCTTTGCAACACAGGAAAACACATGCAAGTAGCCAATCATTAATACTCATCTGTCCATCTGTATGACAGTCCCCAGCTCTGCCATAGAGGTATCAGCTTTGGTATATTTGCAGTTTCACAGAGTCTGAGTAAGCCACTCCAAACTTCATAGAAAGGGTGACTCTAGGGACGGCTTCCCATGCACATTTTGTTACGGACAGAAGAGCCGCTGAGTGCTCTAACGTGTCCCCGAAACCAAGAGATTCCCGCAAAACCGGGCAGCCGCTGCCTCGGTCAAACCCTGTATTTGCACACCTGAGCCAGGCCACTAGACAGTGGGACCCACTTGGAAACTCAGGGGGAAAAACGAACTACCCAACTCCCCATGTGTCCATTCCAGGATGCTGAGAAGGAAAGGTTTAAATGTCCAGAATGTTTAAAAACACTGAAGTAGCCTTTACTGTTTTGTTAAAGCCTTGCGGATTTTCTTTTGAGAGGTTCACATGAAAAAATACAACGAGGAAATGCTTGCTTGCTTCCGCAGCAAAAATGGGCAGAAACGTGCTACCCTGCGGCCGGTTACATTCCCCCTCCCGCGGGATGCAGCAGGAGCAGAGGATGTAGTCGCGCTTCAGCTCCGCCTCCCCGGAGCGGCTGCTGCCGGGGGGCGCCCCGCCACGTCCCTTCAGCAACAGCGCTCAGGCGGGCCAAGCTCCCGCCGCCCTCCAAGCCCGCAGCCCGGCCCCCCGCGCCGCAGCCCCACAGAGCCGTTCGCANGCCCGCACAGCTCCGGCTCTGCGGGGAGGAGCCGCTGCTCCTTCCGCCCCGCGCCGCGGCTGCGCCCCCCCAGCGCCGGGAGGTCCGGCCTCTCGTGTCCTCCTGGCTGCGGCTTCTCGCCGGCATCTAGCGAGCCTGGCCCCCGCCGCCCCGAGGGGGAGGTGTCGTCAAAATTAAGGGGAAAAGGGTTCTGGACTAGTTTGGCTTGTAGCCAGGGTCTCAAACTGATAAATGAAGTAATCGGAAAAAAACAAAACCAACCAACCAAACAAACAAAAAAAACCCCACCCAAAATCCCACCAAAAAAGTAGGAAATAATACATGGAAAAAAGGCAAAGAGAAAGAGTCCAGATGCTGGACTAGGCCGAAGTGGGGAAGCTGGTCATGGACCAGCAGTGCAGAGCTGGCTGCTATCACCCTCCACCAGTACTTACCCCACATCAATGACATATTGGAGCTTTGGTCTCTCCCATTTTACCTCTAAGCACGGAATACAAGCCCTGGCTCCAGATTAAGCAGGCATCCTGGTGGCTGTAATACTTAACTTTAAATAACCTCTTTCAAGACTATTTAACTCACTTTGTTGATTTTCCTCCAGGATGAGGTAGGCCAACAAAATACCATCTGTGTACCTCAGGGGGCAAGACCACTGCAAATATGAGCTGAGGAGAATGAGTAACTTAGTTGCTACGAGCATTGCACCCTTTGATGAGGAGACTGTGCTACCACAGACCAAACCAACAAGAAAAAGAATTTCTGACAATTTTCCTCTTTGGTAAGTCCACATTCTGTCAGTTTGTACTCACTTGAGTTGATGAAAGAGCAGAAAAGAGAAATTATATGTATTATGAAGAGAACTTGGTTTTGGAGTAATTAATATTATGCCAACACCACTCCTATCTTAAAAGGTAAAAAGGATTAGCAACAAACCAATACCTCCATAAATAACGCTGCTGACAGACATCATGCAAAGAAAGCATGTTCTGACTTGATATCATTTGTAAGGCTTCCAGAATGTAGAGGCATCACAGAACCAGAAAAACCATAATAAAAATTTCTTTCTCAATTTACCTATTAGTAAATAATGCAGATACATGCAACAAAATAGATCTTTCTTTATTCTTATAATTGAGTGCTCACAGTATTTCCTTTTTTTTTTGTACAAAAGTGGATGCAACTGTAACATAAAAAGCTCAAGAGCTACACAGAACATAGTATGATTATATCTCCAATAGCAGCTTCTTTTCTAATCCTCTTCCAAATCCCTCACATACAAAGATAAATTCTTGCAATCCTGACATTAGGATTATTCTTGAAGTAAAACATAAGCTGTAATCTTTCTGAAGCTGCCTGCTGCTCAGAATTAGGGCTGAGTGTCTGAGCATATCCATACTGCAGGGACCCACTGGGGCTCGTCCTGTGCACGATGTACTGCACACAGCAGCTGCGCAGATGCTTCTTGTAAATTGTCGTTCACAATCACGTGATCAAAGAACTGACCAAACTGAGCTTCCATTTTCTTAGCCGATTCTTCCATCTCCTGTAAATCTTCTTCCTGTGGGACAGAGTAAGTCCATAAAACTTCAGTGTTGTGTAGAGAAACATACCTGCACAGCATCTGCAAAACACCTTGGGCCATAGAAGCAAGAGATCAATAGATCATGTCAGTCTGCTTTATTTCATTTACAGTTTGATATAATAAAGTACATCTGCCACATTCAGTGAAGGTCTCAAAAACAGAGCTGCTGGCCATATGCTTCCCAAGGAAATACCTTGTGTCTTAGTATGCTCCATTTGTCCTAAAAGTTACTCTAATGATATCTAAGAATGTTAGGGACTGAAAAGTAAATCTCTACTAATGCTTGTGTTCTTATTCCAAATTTTAGTTTATTTCCCCAGTGTCCATGTTACTTTCTCTCACAGCAATCATGAATAATTTCCATATAGTTATAGACTGAGGTCTCCAAAATGTTAGGATGCTAAATTTGATGATGATTTGCATGGAAACAATTGTGGCAAAGTGTTGTATATATTCTAAATATAAGATATGCATTTCCTGCAAGTGGGATCAGTGTTTTATCTACAGAACTTCGTGTAGGATTGATACGGTCATTAACCATACACAAAATAATAATACATTCCTGTAAGTGTGAAAAAATAATACTAGTGAACAAAGCCCATTACAAGTATTTCAATGCAAACAGTAAATATATGTGTTGACTCTAATATTGACACAAGGCAGCTAATTAAAACAAAAATATGTGAAATAGCTTCTCCTTTGAAGCAAAACGCCTCAGTCCCCTAGGTTCCAAATTACAATTCTTATGCTCCAAAGCTACTGTGGAAGGGGGAAAGAAATCCCAACAAAATCCACAGAAAAATTAAGAATAATTAGATTTGATCCTAAAGACACAGTAATATTTTTAAAGAGTTAACAGTATAGCATAGTAGAATGCATTATTTTCTAATAACAGAATCTCAGATTAATAAATTCAATCTCTTTTACTCCCAAATCTCACCTTGAACTTCATGTTCACATAATAATCCGTAATGATCCTTGCATTTTTACGAGTCTGCCTCATGCAACCTATGCTGGGTGGCTTGATGAATATAATGTAGGGCTTTAACTCATGGGTCCGGGCTATTTGTATGCCCTGCAAATAGAGTAAAGAGTAAAATGTAGTATTTCAAGTGTATTCATCCCAGTTTTACTCCCATAAAAAGTTAGTTGTTTACAATTCACTGTTATCCTTGGACTCAGGAGACACTTTTTCAGGAACACTTACTTGAAAAAGATCTCACTAATAAACTCTGGAGCAGACTTGTTATGCAACGGCAGCATGCAATCACTTAATTCTGCTTGGTAGCTTTATTAGGAGATGCTTTCAATAACAGTGACTGATGGAACAGTGTAATTAACATATATCTACAATCAACCACATTAAAGATACATTTGAAACCTTTTTTTAACTGTAAGGGAGCTCCTTTTGGAACAAGTACCTCTATTGTTCCATGCTGGAAGAAAGTATCCTGCTTTCAGAACTCCTTTACTGTGTAACATTTCCTAATGCTAATAAGTATTTTTAAATTACTGCAGAGCAGTGAAGGGAATGAAACAAAACAAAACAAAAAAAAGAAAAGTTAAAGAAAACCACCAGATTTAAAATAAAGTATACTACACAGCAAAAGTTCTGCTACCTCACTGGTAGCTCACTTTCCAAAACTTGTCCTTTAAACTCACACCCAAAAAAAAAAAAAAGAGTGGTAATCTGTCCAAGTGGCAGGATTACACACCCAGCATCCCTCTTTTACCCCTTTGCTTAAAAACGTAACAGAGGAAACCTAAAGGACAGTTTTAGATGTGAAGACTAAGGTGTGGCCTCATATGCCTCTTACAGCAGTTTCAGTTTTTGAATAGTACCCCACAAATCTTGTAATTTTTATTTTAAGCAGCAGAAGCCACTGCCAGCCTAAGGCTTGGACACACTGGCTCTGCATAATTAGAGGGAAATATCCAGGAATTACTGAGTTACGGTGTCACTCTTTACATTCGGTTAGAGGAGATGTTGAAACAGCATAGCCCAAACAGCTCCTAAGTACTAAATAAGTAAGTAATTCAGAGAAGGTTAGTAAGGTTTAGCTAGACACAGCTCTAAGTATCTTAGTTATTTACAGCCTCAGGCTTTTATTAGCCTTATCTTCATCAGCAAATTCAGTGCAAAAATAGAAGGAAAAGTGAATAGCATCTAAGTTAAGAAGAAGCAGGTTACCAAGAGCTGTTACTTCTGGAGACAAATACAGGCACAAAGGCACACTAAAATTTTCAGCTTTTGCTTGATTTCTTTAACTGCTGCTGCTTTTACCAAAGGGTGTTTTGAGATTGCTAATAGAAGGACAGAACTCTCAACTAATAGGGCTTGGAGGAGGAAGATATCCCATGCAACAGGTCTCCATGTGAAAGACTAATCCTTACTTTAAGTAAGTATGAAATCTCATTTCCATTCCATCCTAACTGATAATGCAGCTTCTGGTTTGGTAAAAAATGCACTGTATCAAGATACTTGTTACTATAGTACCCTCCCCACCCAAGACACATGAAAAGAATACTCTATTATTAATAAGCACCATGAGGTAAAGTGAAAAACAATACAAAGCAACTAATACTGTTCCAATGGCTCAAGAATGTAGAGAAAATTATTTTTCCTTCCAGAAGATTCCCTGCCCCTTTACGACTCACCTGTGGTTCTAAGTCTATTACACAGATCTTCCCTGCATCAAGGACTGTTCGCACTGCATCAATACTGGTACCATACAGGTACCCTTTGTACTCCCCATACTCCAGCATTCTGCAACAGTGGTGAGGAAGAAGGAAAATGAAAGAGCATTTGAGTTTCAAAAGGGTTCTATTTAAAGGTGAAATCTTCAAATATAATCCAGTGATCAGGACTGAATGATCATAAAACCTAGTCAATATTGTTCATCTTTGATCTCCTCTGCTACACTGGGCACAAAAAAACAGTTCAATGTCTCCAAAACATGCATTTTTACTCAGCATGGTTTTATGAACTTTGTGTTTACATGTGATTTTACTTGTCAATGCTTGTCAATTACATACTACAAACGACTTCTTAAATCTGAAGATCTCAAAGCTCTTGGCACAGCTCAATGAGTGTCACTTCTGCAGTGCTGAGCTGGTCTGTCTTAGATTATTGATGCATAGAAAGGAGCAGACACTTTTGAATATTTAGCCCTTACAGTTCAACTACTCATGTATCATCACTGCAGAGATCCTGCAATAGAATTGTAGGTCACGAACAGGTGTGATTCACTGCTAAATTTTCAAAAGCAGCCTGGTTTCTAGGAGAGTTAAACTCAACTTACAAGCACATCTAATGAGCTCAGGACTAGTGAGCCTACTTCCTTTTAGAAGGATTCTGAGATTAATTGTGGAGGAGTTACTTGCAACTGCACAGAGTCCTTGAAGAAACAGTCTCGAGTAGTTTGAACCAAATTTATACCACACATACACAGTAATAGTGGAGGACCGAGGAGCCCAGACTTGGACCTAACTACAGAACTGTATTTTCTTGAATCATGTTGCATTTTAGGTAATAAAAATGTAATTCATCTCTCCTACTCACCTGTGGCTATACACCATGTTTTCAAAAGTTTCCTTTGATATATAGTGATATTCACGACCGTTCATTTCATAACTTTTCTGAACACGAGTGGTGTCTGAAGGAAGACACAACACACACAAAAAAAAACAGCTGCAACTAAATTATTGTAACTTTATAAGTGAAAACAAGAACTTCATGAAGAACTATCAATCAGTATTTTCATAAATAATAATATGGGTTATTTCCATTTGTTAATCCAGAGCAAAAGCCCCATATACAGTAATGGTTTGCCAGTGACAAGTCATTGAAAATTATCAAAGCCCAACTGTATTTCTTGGAATGGAAGAGTAGTTTAATCCAAATAGTTGTGATTCAAAGCAATCAGGAACTGCCTTGGAACTGGTTGCACAACTCTTTTTACTCCTCAGAGGCAAAATTTTTTTGAAGTTTATTCAGAAAAATCCCACAAGCATCCTACCCTTGCACCTTCTCCTTATCTGGGATCTTAAGCACTAAGTCCTGAATTTTCAGCTAGCTTCAGAGACATAATTTCCAGTTTAGTTATCTAAATTACAAGAACTAAATAAGCACAGGTAGAAATAATTTCAGTTGTTACGTCAGAAGTTAAGCTGTGTAAGTCTCATCTGAGACTAGAAGGCTAATAAGGAAAGCTGCAAAGCCTATTAAGCACCAACTTCTGTTGTCTTCATTCTCATATCTGAGCACTTAAACCCTAAGAACTTAAAATATCTCCAAGTAGGGTTCTTTTTTTCTTTTTTAAATCTAGGAAAAGCAAACACCAAAATTAAACCAAATCATGCAGATAACTTTTCACCTCCATAAAGCTTTTAATGGTTTCAGAAACTGGAACTTGAACATACCTTTGCCTGATTTGCCAAAATGTGATAGATAATATTTTGAACTAACCCTTATGCAAGCAAACAGTACTGGCTGTTCAGCAGAGCTGAAGAAACAGCCATAGAGCAAAGAGTGTAGGAATACACAAAGGCAGGAGGAAGGTACTTGGCATTTCCTACTCATGTTTGAATTGAGGTAGTGGAGTAAAGAGGAAAAATATTACATACGAGGTGTGGCACTTTGAAACTCTCGTGGGTTACTTGTGATTAGCCTTCGCCGCAGTTCATTCACACCAACTCCTGCAGGACCTGGAAAGGTGGAACAGCAGCAAATATTACTGACAGGGTACAAATCACTCTCCAGCAATACAGCCGTATCCAGGAGGCAACTCAGCAGTACTATTTTCAAATAAAAATCTTATCAAATACTTCCAGACTTATAAAAGACAGTGGATTTTACCTTTACTCAGTTTGCTTTATCAGGACCATAGAACAGTGCAGAACAGCAGCTTCCCTTCAGTCACTACAATTATGTCTCCTTTAGAGCCTGCAGACCACTTAATACAGTATGCCCTATAACAAGCATTATTAAAGGCATCTTTCCATACTGTCCATGAGATTGTTCTAGTCTTGAGTTAAATATCCTTCTTCTTGCCATATCTATGCATTTAACACTGGCTGTAAAAATGCCTCGATATAAAGATGTTTTCTATTAAGTTACCAATGTTTTCTCATCATTTTCAGTCCCAGCTGAATATAAAATTGAACCACCTCCCTAATAAAATCCATTATCAACCAGCATTCATAACTGTACAACTTCTTCTAAGGACTTTATTATTGTTGTTTTAAACAGCAATAATTAAACACTCACTATCTCAAGCAAAGAAGATGATACCTGCATTAAACTTTAACTCCAATAATGGGGTCCAGTTACAATAATTCTTGAAATATTGCTTTGAGAGCTGCCTACACAGTCAGCAACACTGCAATCAGCAGCAGGAAACCCCAGTGGATCAGACTATGCATGACTTGTTTCCTCTCCTCTGGCAGAAGAGGGTGAAATTTGCCTGCGAATGTTGTTAACCTCTTACCCACGAGGATAATTAGTCTGTGCCGGTCTGTTGGGTGCCGCTGGTACCTGACCACCTCTTCGTAGGGAGCTGCTAGGCTGCTGTAACAGCTGCTGGGGCAGCGTGAGTAGCAAGACTGCTGGTTGAGCCGGGCCTTCCTGCGACACAGCCGCATGCTCCTGCGGAATCCAGCTGGAGGGGGCAAAGGCACAGTACTGGAAAATACACTCAACATGCAGGCAACTAGTTCTTTAGCCCAGAGGGCCCCTTTCTAAACCACACAACATACTACCTTTTCTGAGCTTTTTGCAAAGTGAAGGTTAGTGAATTTCATTGCTGCACTTGGTATGACAGCTTGGTAGAATCTCTGAGCTTTAAATGACAGCTACAGAGTAAGTCAAATACCGTTGAAAGTCACCTGAGAATTAGTCCAGAATTAAAGACTTCCAAAAGATCCCCAAAACAAGCTGAAGCAGAAGTTTCTGACTACCTGAGGCATACCTAAGGAACAACATCCCTAAGGTCAACTTTTTTTGATAGTGTAGATGGTTTGCTCTCATAAGGCAAGTCTAGAACAATTGCTCCAGCCTCCAGAAAAAGTATTTTAAAGGTCACTACGGTTTAATAACCATAGAGGTAGGTTTGTTTTCCACTTGGCCATCCAACTCTGAAAACTTCACAAATAGGTGTACTTTTCTAATGAAAGCCCTCATGATTATTCTCAGTGGATGACAAGCATTACTTTTGAGCAAAATTAATCATGAAGTCAAATTTAAATACCAGTGGCCAAGTCTCTCTAGAAACTTAATAGGAAGAAAGATTTAAATGGAGAGATTGAGCATTATTAGGAGGAAAGAGACTTGCTGACATCTGGAAAACAGTAAGCTGTATTCCATTTAGTATGTCTTTAGGTGATATAAAGAGCAAAGCTTTTTATTGAACTTCAGACAAGCACTTAATCTAGATCAAGCCCCAAAAATTTTACTTATCTTTAGTCATTGCATACCAATAAAGACTCGTTGACCAAATTCACCAAATTCTTCCTCTTCTAGAATACAAAGAACAAATACTCATGAAATAAAAAAGAACAGAGAAAGCTTAAAAGCTAGATGGCTAACAAATATTGCTGATCCCAAGGAAAAAAGCAGCTTCAGTAAATATGTGGAAGTATGAGCTCTAATATAATTTTAAAAGTACAATACTACATAATATGAAATTTCAAAATATTTTTACATGACAAATGACCAATTTAAAAGGGTCATTGCAAGAAAAAAATAAACATAGAACATCTTGGTATTTCCTAAATTAATTTTAAAACTTAACATTCTATTTGTTTCATTCCTAAGATATCTAAATGCCAAACAATGTTTTGAAATTGAAATTAGTGAAAAAAACCCTGCACATAATTTAAGCTTTTCAGGTAAAATCTGTCTTACAAGAACTCTTTAGTTAAAAAAATAACTAACAAGTCAGTGGCTCAAAATCAGAAACAAAAAATTTGTAATTTAGTTTCTGCCCCATAGCATATTTGGAAAATGCAACTTGTGTCTGCTCAGATCTTTCAGGCAAAATAAGATCTGATTTTATTATTTCTTTTTCTTCACTGGATCGGTGATATCTGTGCTCCAACATGTGAGCCTACCATGTTTCCTCCAATTCTTTTTGCCCTCATTCTCATGCTGTTCCTCATAAAGGCTTCACTATTCAGGTGTGACTTCTAAAACTCTGCATGTATTTTTTTAAAAATTAAATATCTTGTATAAGGCTCAAATATAACTATTTTCCAATGAATCAATGTTCGGAAAGTTTAGAAACTATTTGAGAAAGGTGATTTGAAAACAAATAGCAAAGGAAAAAAGTGGTGCCAGTGTTTAGTTTTCTTTTCAAAAAGGATTCCTTACTTTCCTCTAATCATGCATGTAATTATCCAAGCTGTGCATTCCTTTTTTAGGTCTTGTTAAAGCAAGAATGAGATACAGAAGACATAGGCATGTCTTTGAAAGCAGTATTTGTTCCAAGGAAAAACATTTTCATTTTCAAAGCTTTGAAATGCTTTTAGCACTAGACTCTTCGATCTACAGTTATCTCATAAGCATGCAAGTATTGAAACAAAATTAGATGCACATTAATAGCTCTTTCACATCTGTACACTCTTCATTACTTGTACCTTTACAATATAGTTTTATTCCTACATTTCATAGTACATATGTACTAACAAGTAGATTATGACTATGGAAAAAACTTCTTGGAACAAAGCTACTCATTTGGGGCAATGCTCAGAGTAATGTTCAGCTGACACATGTCCATATAATTTCTATCTTCAAGTCTCTTGAGTCATCATTCAAACATATTTAAATATTTCTGCTTTATCTACCCTTTCTTCTGTGGTATGGAGAACAGTGTAGAATCCTACAGGGAACAAACAATTCAGCTACTGCATATTGCAAGAAGAGTTTATGCTAAAGCATAAACACAGATAAATTCTATTAGATTACTGCTTACAGGAGACAGGGAGAGAGAAAAAAATTAATGTTACCTTCTTTAAGCTCCTCTGCACATTCAGATAGAGACAGACATAAAACAATTAGTTTTGAGAAGACAGTCTATACTATGATAAAAAAAAAAATCCAACCAGCATTGTCCAACGCAGTTAGAGAATGTAGAAAACAAGTACTACAGAAATGAAATCTAAAATAGTCTTCTTCGAGCATGAATTCTCAGTTTCCAAAGAATGTAAGACTCAACTGTAGCATCCACATCAGACTGTAGTACAAAACACATCTACAACTACTGGTTAAAGTAGAATGTAGGATAGCAAATATTTGCATTCTTTATTCCTTGTATGCTGTGTGGATACAGCAGAGAGCTGACTCAGCACTGAGCAGTGAGCAGGATTTGCAACAGTAATCCCCAAGTGCAGTTATCAGAAACATCCTAGCCTGAAAACAAAAGACTGCCCTCCAGACCTGCTGGTTGTGCCTTAAAAGGCTTGGGCATTGCTTGAGAGGTAGAAGAGATCAAATCACTTATGATACAAGAAGGTGCAGGAAGAAGAACTGGCAAGTAAAGACCTTGTGGAGAAGAGCAAATGTAAGGTAAAATGACACTCTCCTCCAAAAGATTACCAAATACCTCAAATGAGGAGTTTAGCAGTAGTTTTATTTTAGGGGAGAAATTATTTCTTTTAGAAGACTTAAGTTTTGCAGAACTCTCAACATGCTGTAAATAAGCAGCTGCTTCCTAAATGAAAAAAAACAACAAAACTAAGCAAAAAAAAAAATAAAACCAAAAAAAACATACCAGCTTGGTTAAAAAAAAAAGTACTTATTTGATTGTATTTTTACACATAAATAATAAATTTATAAGCATTTTTCTTTCCTGTATGCCAGCCACACCCACAATCAGGAGTCCAGAAGCAGCTTTCCTCTTTACCACATCAACTCCTACAGGCAGTGGGGATTCAGGCCTCCGTATTACCAAAGGTAATCCAATTATTTGCTGACATCAGTGCAGCCCCTGCTGTCACAGCTTGCACGGGTACAACTGACGAGGGTTGGATAAACTGATCTGCTACTGATGCACGAGAAGAAACATTCACACTTGTGGGATAAGAGGACAGAAACCTTACTACTAAGGTAATCGGAGAACAAGAGGAAGACTTAAAGCAACAGGATTTTACATAATGGCTTTTAAAGCCATAATGACTTCTGAAGCTAAAGTGGAATTTTGGTTTTTGCCACCTGCTTGTTTCTAAGACACTTGGTTGTCTCTGGACACCCTTCTCGCAGCAGAACAATAGCAAGGTATTTAGAGCTAGGTCAGAGGAACTTACCTGACTCAAATGTTTCTTCATCTTGTTTAGTAATCCAGATAGCAAAGATATTAAAATAAATTCAAAATTTAATTCTTCTCCTTCTAATGAATATCAGATTCAGAAATCACTTTTCCAGCTTCTGTCAGTCTGTACTTTCCTAACCTCCCTCTACCCAGAGGTGGCAAAATACAGCTCACCATACTTGAATTAACTCCATCTCTTTTCATGCAGTCCTACAGGGTCACATCCCTCCATGAGAGCTTCTGAATTACCTTGGAGAAAAATGAACTGCACTGCTTTAGGGAGCAATGCAAGTTGCCAATCTTTACATTCAGTGTTCACAAGTAAAAACCTCTTCTTGCACCTTGTTCTCCCAAGATCAGTTTCTTGGCAAGGGATTGTGTGTGTTCTCCAAGACCACAACAATCTGTGGCATTAAATATGCGATAGGCAAAAAACTATGGTAACTTCACGGCCACAGTCCAACACCTGAATCAAAGAAGTTGGATCTCATTCAAGCAGATATTTTTGTGCTGGTCAAAACGCTTGAATATAAGCACTGTACACCCAAACTGCAAACAGCTCATTTTAATACACTAACACTAGATGAGGTTTCCAGGGTATGAAAAATAGACTTTTCTACCATTAAGTGCAGTAAAGAATGAGTTATTTTATCTAGGAAATGAGGCTTTTCACTAGCTACTGCCTTGAAGAAAATAAAATAATCTCAAGTGAATTCAGTTACCTGTTTCCACACACTTTTCATCAATCTGCATGTCGTCCTCTACAGATCAACACAAGGGAAAAAAATTCATCTGAATCAGAAAAACACTGGGGAGGAAAAACACCCTTACAGATCTTACAAGGCTGAACTCAGACATCAGAAACAAGATACGTGAAGCTCAAATTGTCTTTAGGCATCTTTAAGGATTATAACTCTTAAGTGATGCTCCTTCTGTACAGTGAGCAAAAACTCTTAAGTGAGTACTCTGAAGGGCTTGTGGCAGAGAGACAAATGCATCTAACTTGAATTCTCCTCTTGAAATAATGAAAGGTTTAACACAGCTGTCAATCTGTTTATCCAGTAGATAGCTATTTATTAAGTATGACCATGAGGAAATATAATTTTCTGTCCTATTTTAAATATCTTAAATAATAATATTTTTAATATTTTAAATATTTTTCAAACATGCTACACTCAAGAAAAGTGTTCTGCTTTTTATTTTTATTGTTACTTGTACAAGGAAGAAAAGGAAGAGATCAATTCAGCTGCCTCTCAATCCCCAGACCACATCAATTTATGTCCCTGAAATATGAACACATGAGCTTGGGCAATCTCACAGGCTCACAATACAGCACTGTTTGTGTTTTGTTCTTGCATGGCCTTCCAGATGGGCCCAGCAGGAGCTATTTTCCAGTTACAGGGCAATTGTCAGAGTATCTGTCAATCGCATTCTTCCCATACATATTCTTTAAAGAAACACTCTCTCAGAGTTACTCCAGGAGAGAAAGAGGGAGGAGAAAAGAGAATGAGGAAATTTTGTCTTTCTTTCCTCAAAGAACCCATACAAATGGTCACCTCCCTGATAGAAAATGTACAGATAAGGTTTCCACTTTAAGACAATGCATGCATCTACTACTTCAGGTGAAAAAGGCTGGATTTCAGTTGTTAAGCACACAAAATGTCAAGAACTTAGGCTCCTTCTTCATGTATGTATCAAAATGCCTCATTTCTGACAACTTTTTTAAAAGCCTGTAAAGCCATGTGCTATATTGGTTCCAGGTACAGACATGCAATGCTGTCCAGATGTGATTTCCTACCTTCTTCCACAGTGCTTACTGCTCACAGCATATCCATTGAAGCAGTTAAAATGCAATAAAATTATGGTGAAAGAGAGCCTCAGCTCTAGCAAACAAAGCAATCAGTGCAAGACAAATCCTAGGGAATGAAACACATTCCCTCTGGGATTTATCATAAGAGAAAAATTTTATGCTTGCATAAAGAACAATAGAAGAAAATGGGGACAAAGGAAACAGGAAGAACATTCTTTTTCTGGGAGTAATTATATATTTACAGAAAATTATAGTTGGCAGAGGATTATATTTCTGGATTGTTACCATGAATAAATTAAAGGGCAGCATAGCTTATCTTAGACCTCAAGAAAAGAAATCCTATTATTCTCTCAATAGCTTTGATGGCAAAGAAATATTCTAAGCACTTGTATGGCACTTCTCAGTGCAGAGCTGGTATCTGTGTCCCTGGAAAGCCAGGCCAGTGCAATTGTCACCTCAAGATGTACAGCCAGTTCTCCTAGAGAGAACTGGCCGGCCTAGTGAGCTCCCAGAACTTAAGAGACTTCAGAAGAAGTTGAATTCAAAGCTTCTCTTATAGTCACATCCCAAGTACACTGGCAACTACCATCTCCATCATCAGTACTCCAGGTACAATTATCATTAAGTATTTATTTTTCTGAGGGTAGTTAACACACTTGAAGGTTACAATATGGCTCCAGAAACAATGTCTTTGAATTAAGCTCAACTGTATAAGCTTCTATTTCAGTATCCCTGAAACAGAGACAAGATCTTTCTTTCCTGCTGTATTGCTCAAGTAACTTTTCCACTCACACATTGATGATTTGAGACAGAGGTGGGGCTGGAAAGGCTGAGACCACCAGAATTCTCGCTGCTTCCTACATAGAAATAAATTTATCACAGTTAAAGAAACAGTCCACAAGCACATTATGCTCCAGTCAGAGTCACTGCTTACATTAAGACTGATCAGTACTGAACTGAGAGAAGACAGCAAGAACTGGAACATTACCAATGTTTTAGCCCACTGCAAAGTCCTGAAATAAAACCAATGTGCTATCAGAACTATTCAAATTCAAAATCAGCAGCCCAGAAGTATTAAGAGTTTATATAAAGTACAGAAGGATAAGCCATACTGTGGTACAGACTCCTGGAAGTAGAAGGGTGTGCTTCTGGTAGGGGTAGCAGTACTACTGCCTCCATTACTACACAGAGCCTCTTGCTTGCAGCCTGAGTCACAGCCCAGTTTGATTTCACCTTGCATTGTACAGACTCCAGGTAGGTTTGTATTTATTATAAAGTGAAGTTTATCATCTGCTATTGCACGGCCTTATGTTATCCTGGGGGTACCACAGGACATGTAGTTAAAGGATCAGATTGAAAAGTTTGTTACAGCAGTGTAAGAACTCTAATGCTGAATGCATGTAGTGTAAAAATAGTGGTCTATTTATGCAGAAAATAATAAGCAAGAGATTCTTGTTCTTGAGCATTTTTTTCTCCATTCTTTTAATCTGGTCTACTCAGTTTTGACCGAAGCTGATGTTACTCATGCATCACAGGACATCTTTAAAAAAATACCATGCTTTTAGTATCCCACTCTTCCCCTTGCTTTTTTTTTTTTTTTTCATCATAGATAGATGAAAGTCCTTTATCATAGATGATAGTCCTTTAATAGTCAGGGCCCTCAATTTCCACACATCTCTTTCAGCTGCTACACTCCACCAGATGTCTTAGCAACCAGCATGGAGACTGGACAAGTGCTGCAAATTTCCTAAATGGCAATTTGAGATTGTACCGATGCTTTCAAAAGGTTATGCTCACACAGGTGCTCTTAAGGGAAAAAAATCAAGAAGTCAGACATCAGAAAGAGGAAAGATGTTTGTCAGCTGTCAATCTGAATCATACAGCTACAAAACTTTGTATTTTTCATTTAAAATGAAAATTTTAAAGTGTGAATTTTTGAAACAGAAATCAGGAAAATTATGATTTCTTTACCTTTTAAGAAGATGATTTGAGGGTATGAGTCCAGCACAGGCACTGAGATCTGAAACTTTCCTGGCCTGCCACCAGAAAGCATCATTCTGGTCCACAATCTGGAGTATTTCACCCCTCTTAAAAGGCAAACCTGCATCAGCACATGGTATGGCAGGATCTTGCAAGGGCCAGTAATCTGCCATTGCTCGCACATAAAGCTGGTAAAGCAAATACACAGGAGTAAGCAGAAGCCAAGTTTAGAACAGATACAACACAAGCTTTACAGTCACAGGGCTAGATATTGCTGCAACTTCAATCTAATGATGAAGTCAAGTTTTAAAAACCAGGTCAAGCCTTAAACCCTCTTTGCTCATTAAATGAGAAAAAACCCCATTTGTCTCATACAGGATGAGAAGAACAGACCTCCAACCTGCAGATCACTCTGAAAGTGCCTTCATTACACAGTTACATTTCTACTTTCAGTCTTTACTGCTTCAGCAACAACATATTGATGTCAGCTGAGAGACAGCCATTATGGCAAGGTAACACTTTAAGGATTGCAATAAACTTCCAGGCAACACCATGCCTTTGTATCACACAATTAGGCACTACTGCTACCAGTCTGGAAAAAGAAAAAGAATGTTTCTTACTGTTGTTTGGTTGCTGACAGGCCGATCAGAAACTGGAATTAATTTGAACATAATTGTCCCCTGAGACAGGGCCTAAATTATTAGAAAAGAATTAAAAAATGGTTGGTATTCAACACAAGTAATTGAACATAAGAAAGACAAGGTCAACACAGCATGGCTTTGAGGATACTGCAGGGTTTGTGTTACAGATAGAATTCAGGCAGACGGAGTCAATGCGATATTACTGTATTTTTTCCAATAGGAAACTCAAGAATGAAACATCAAAGTTTTGCTAAATATTTTTTTACTTTAATGCAACCTATGTTTCATTGTAAGTATATGTAATTTCAGCAGTGAGTAATACCAAACATTTCTACTGAAATCTTATTTAAATTAGCAGCAGGGTCTGGTGAGATGGGTGATATAAAGGGGCAGGAACATAATTTAGTAATTAAGCACTCCAATAGAGTTTGTTCTTTCTTATACCTATAAATGGTACAACCAGGGCAATAGCACATAGACGTGGTATGATTACACACAGAAATACCTCACTGGCTGGCACTTAACACTTTGCAATAAAGAACCCTGAAAAATTGTGGGCAAAACAACAAGACAGGGACATCTCAACAGATTTCTGAATGAGAATTTTGATAACAGTAATTGCACTGCCCTTTTCTTGCAAAGTGAGGTATGTAGCTTACAAACTCATTCACTCTACTTCAGTGCATTTTGTAACATGGACTCTTATTAGAATAGCCACTTTCTACTATTTTTATATTTCTTGTGGAATATTAACTGAGTGGCACTTCTAGAAAAAATGAATCAGTGAAGTCTGAATAAATTAGTACTTTTCCCAGAAACTGCAGATAGAATGTTCACAATTAAGTTAATTTCTGTCCAGAACAGAAGTTAGATTTAATTGTGGTTACATATATTCTGATTTCACGAGCAGTAGTGAACTTCATTCACAGTAAGGAAACAATCTGAATTTTCTGTTAAAAATTTCAGGCTTTCTCATGTATAAGAGTGTATTAAAGAGCAAGCATACAAATAATCTTAAGGAACAAAGTAGAAAACATATTTAAAAAATATTAAATACCAGAATATTAATGACTTGCTCAGGATCAAGTCCCTCAACAGGAACTCCATTTACTTCCACCAGTTTGTCTCCAGCATACAGCAACCCTACAATGAAAACAAATATGAAAAAAGCAGCAGTTTTATCAGAGCATGATTTATCTTGGATAGGCAAGGCAGGGTCACAGAGAAATACCACAGGTTGATAAATCAGTATTAGAATTTTCCTGTACCATCTACAGAGGGAGGCATTTTGGATTCAGGCTGCATTGCCCCTGGATGGGACTGCAGACAGCTGTGGGTCACAAGGAGTTTGCTTGCTCCAGCTTTCTTAATCCTTCCCACCCCTCCCATATAATGTCTTTAGAATCTACTGATGATTTGCCTTAAAATTAGCATACATATTTTAATATTGCTCCATTTCCCAAAGTAACTTATGAACCTATCCTATATTAATAGACCCTAAAACCTCCAGGTGCAGTGGGAGGTCCTGTGACTCCTCTCTATCCTTTAGAGTATGTAAAGTCTTCACAATATTGTTTTCTTTTCCATGTTCCTTTAACTCAATTAAAATATTAGTCAAACTAGGAACTTAATCAGCTATTTTCTGCAAGTAGGATTTTCTTCTTTATACAAAGGCCAGAAAATACTAAAAGGAACTATTTTATAATGATTAAGATGAATTCTACTTCTGATGTTTTACATTTAGTTACATTATATTTCCTAAGGGACATGGAGCACATTCAATTCTAGGATGATAAAGTAGTAACATTTCCAAGGAAACTCTTTGCAAGATTGTTTAGCTACTAGTGCTAAGCAAAAAGTTCAGTTGAGCAGTGCCAAGAAGTATTATTAACTATTCCTTAAAACCAATTATCTTCTAGAATCACCAACTATTGATGTTTACCATTTCTCTATTAGGGAATGTGCTGCATTTCATACTGCACTGCAGTTCGGGATACCCAGGTATTGGTGCCAAGAACACATAATGAAAACTGGATTTCTACCTCAACTCAGTCTAAAACAGCAAATTCATCTGAAAATTTATGAAGCCAGAATCAAAGTCACCGTAATGCTTACTGCTTACAGTGCTGTCCCATGTGCACATCATCTTGATCTATAATAGAAGCTTAATTGTAGAAGCTAAGGTATTATCTTACTTCAAATATCTTATTTCAAGTTCAGTTTTATGTATCACTTTGTTTCAAATTCCACATACCACTTCTGTCTGCCAGCCCACCATGGATCACACGGGCAACCGTTATGTCACCTGTTATCTCATGGCGTTTAATGGTGGCACCCTGGCAGGTAAGAACAAAGAAAAAACACATTGATCACCAAAGGACCCCAGTAAGTTTCCTTCCATAGCACAAGTCTGATCTTCACACTGACAAGGGCATTTTTAAGGACATAGTGTTGAGGCATTTAGGGATACAGCCTTTTTACCACAACATGGAAATAGCAATAACCACAGAATCATGGAATAAGCCAAGTTGGAAGGAACCACAAGAATCACTGAATTCAACTCCTGGCCCTGCACAGCACCATCCCCAGGAGTCACATCCTGTGCCTGAGAGCATTGCCCAAACACTTCCTAAGCTCTGTCAGGCTTGGTGCTGGGACCACTTCCCTGGGGAGCCTGTTCCAGTGCCTAGCCACCCTCTGGGTGAAGAACCTTTCACTAATATCCAACCTAAAGCTCCCCTGACCCAACTTCAGGCCATTCCCTCTGGTCCTGTCACTGGTCACCAGAAAGAAGAGATCAGTGCCTGCCCGATGTCCCTCCAGCTGCCAGGGCACTGCTGACTCATATCCAACTACCATTGACTTGGACCCCCAGCTCTCTTTCCACAGCACTGCTTTCCAGCAACTCATTCCCCAGCCCATTATACATCCAAGGGTGCCCCATCCCAGGTGTAGAATCTGGCACATTCCCTTGTGGAGCTTCACATGGTTGGTGACTGCCCAGCACTCTCTTTTGTCGAGGTCTCTCTGCAGGACCTCCCTGCCCTCAAGGCAGTCAACAGCTACTCCCAGTTTTGTATCATCTATGAACTTGCTCTGTACCCTTCCCTTTGTTGAAGTCATTTATGAAGATGTTGAAGAGCACAGGGCCAAGGATGAAGCCCTGCAGAACCCCACTAGTGACACATCCACTGTCTGATGTAACACCAGTCACTATAACCCTTCTTGCCCAACCCACGAGCCAGTTGCTCACCCATCCAATAATGTGTTTATCCAGCTGTGTGCTGGACATTTTGTCCAGAAGGACAGTCTGAGAGACAGTATTGAAAGCTTTACTGAATTCCAAATGGATTACATCATTTGGCTTCCCCTGATCAGCTAGCTGGGTTACCTTGTCATAAAAGGAAATCAGGTTTGATAAACAGGACTTTCCCTTCATGAAGCCGTACTGGCATGATCAATGACTGCGGTGTCCCACAGGTGTTTTTCAGTACCTCCCAGAATAATCTTCTCTGTAACTTTACCAGGCACTGAAAAGAGACTGACAGGCCTGTAGTTTCCAGGGCCATAATGTGTTAATACTAAGTCCTTCAATGTCTTCAACTTCCACCGCACTAAAATAACCTCATTGGCTGACTGTTAGAAATCTTTTTTATCTCCAGTATTACAGCTATCTTTTCCTAAAACAGATTAGCTAAGCTATACAATGTTTGCTGCTTATAAGTACAAATGATTTCTGAAGAACTTTCAAAGTCTCTCCTCCCCTTCCTTTCTGTCGTGGCCGTGGGAATAACTCTCAATCCAGTTTGGTTTTATCATCTCATATAATGAAAATACATTTGCCACATGTTCAAACTTTGAGCAGACAAGGCACTGAACAACCTACTCTAGTTACATCCACACCATGCAGGGCTAAATTGTCTCTGCAACAATCCTTGTGATTCTGTAAAATCTGGACAAGATTGCACACAATCCCCAAGACATTCCTGGGAAGAAACCAATATGCATCCCATGTATTATCAATTCTTTCTAAGTTAAAATAATTTGACAGAAACAAGGAAGGTCCCTCACCAGAGGCTGGTTGTTTTTCACTAAGCAGACAATCCTCATAGCTTCTTCATTTTCAGGTATGTTGTCTGGCAGTGGTGGAAGGGTTGGTTCAAAATCTTTCTGGGCCACAGTATCATGAGCAGATAGCAAGGCCTATTACAAATGAAAACAAGCAAACCAACCAACCCATAATCGAAGATCATACAATAGCAGAGCTTTAAACAGTGACTCATCAGAAAACAGAAATCACTGAAAGTGTTTCTTTGTGAACACAGATCCCTTGCAAATACTGACATTTTCTTCAGGAAAATCAAACCATGAAAGTTTTAAGAACAGTTCCTCTATTTCTTATGGAAAACTTACAAAAGATGAAATATTTCTATTTGGAGTTCTTGGGTTAAGAATGTAGGTTTTGTAATTTCAAGGAAAATTTGATTTATCTATCTGCATCTAACTGCCCGTAATTTAAAACTTTATAAGAAACAGCTTTCAAACACAGCCTTAAGTAAAATGCAGCCCAGTGCAGGCACCAGAGACACAGTCCACATTTGATCTCATGGTCAGATTAGTTCATCATCTATATCTCTTCTGGCTCCTTTACCAATTCTTGTGAAGAGCTGCCCATCCATTCCCACTGCAGAGAGTTCCATAAGCAAACTTTTTATTTCCTTATGAGGACTTGCCTTAAAGTGTGGAGAACGCAGTAGCCGTCTTAGCTCTTTGATCTCTCCTGACTGAGGGGCTTCACGCAGTAACTCTACCACCTGAAAAATGTAAGAAAGAAAGCAGAGATGGATTCTAGAGGACAATTCATTTAGAAAGCTCTACAGTGAATGTAAAGGAATATGGGATGCAGACAGTTAAAGCCCCCCTGTTAAAATTATATGAGTCAGAGGATGTCCATATGGTTTTCTCTAGAACTGGACAATGACCCCAGCTGCACAACACTCAACCAGGCTGAATTTAGTTCAGGCACAGTGCCATGTGCTCTAAATTAGTTTTCGCTCCCATCTCTCAACCGATTTCATCACTAGTCTCAATTTCTCTACTTCGTCATTAACTCTCCCACTAATTAAATGATTGCAAATGCAGCCATTATAATTAGAAAAAATCTAAAAAGCTTTTCAATATCCTCACATCAATCTGCTTGATTGTAGCCATAACACTGAACCACAGAGTTACATGGGAAGAAAAATACACAGTCAGTGATTAAACAAGTAACATTTGTGTTTATTAAACCATCCAGGATTTGCATAGTCCAGTAACCACAGCTGTGCCCATTTCTCATGTTGCACCTCTCACCACAGTAAGGGCTGTTAAGCAGTTTTACAAATGTGCAAGGAGTGTTTCAAGTTTCTATACTGCACTTAGAACTGAGACACAGAATAAATACCAGAACACTTAACTGCAGCAGTTTTGGTATCATCATTTGGTATGAGTAAAGCAGTAAACTGCATACAGTCTCACCTCACGACTCAATGCACGTGCCTGCAGCGTGACAGGAGCTGGTCTTTTTCCAAGATAGTGTTGGAGGCATTCATAAATCTGTTGCATGCCATGACAGAACAAAACAAGGCAATGATGACATTGACCAGTTCACATGATCATACAGATACATACATGACAGGCAATGGACAACACTGTTTCTGGAGACTTCTCAGTCCAACTAGAGCCCCAGAGTCTACAATCTAAATTCTTAATATCTAATGCATCTGGCATTGAGTCTTGAACTCAATGCCATTCCATATTATCAGGTAGCTAGCCAGTTATACTGTAGTTTTGAATTTTCCTAGAAGAAAAGCTGTCTACACAGGTCAATAGCCTGATAGTCAATTCTCTGATTTGTAGCTTGTTTCCTTCCTCAAGTTGAAGGCATAATTGCTGCATTTAAAATGCCCTTTTGGACATTCTTATCCAGTAAAAGCACTTCTTTAAAAATCAAAGATTTCAAAAATTCTTCAGAAAGAAAAGCAGAACTTTTAAAGAATTTGTCTCAGAGATAAAAACACCAGTCAAAACTGTTCTCTAATAATGTAAGATGGGTTTTTTTTGGTTTTTTTTCCTGATATGGCAAAATCAAGTAGCTATTCCTAGAGATTGTTCTGTAGGTGACCTTTGCTTTCCCAGCTGTGTGGTACCTTACCTTTAGAAGTGCTTGCAGCCAGCGAGATCTGAGCAGGTCATAGAGCATGCCAACACCATTGACATCTCTCTTACAGAGCAAACTGAGCTCTTGCAGCGCTAGAGTCAGAATATGAGATACACCTGAGCCCAAGAAACAGAAAAGCGCAAGACACTTCAGTACAAAGAGAAGACTGACCAAAGCCAAACAGTGACCCAGACCTCTGAAATGCACCTTTCCTCAATTTATACTTCTAAGAAATGCACAGACATTTCCTGTCAGCCTTACTTTTTTTCCTGCAATCAGCTTTGTTGCATAAGAGCTATTTTAGCATGTTATTAGCCAGCAGGGTTAGGTCAATACTAGCAATTTGCAACTGACCTGTAAGAAAACCATGCAGGCAATCTCACATGTAACAGTCTGAGTTCAAGCTCATAACTCCTACTGAGAAAAGGTGAAATAAAAAACTCCTTGGCTTTGTAAGCCAGAAACACATGCCAGGTATTCTCCTCTGATGCTCTCTTAAGTTAACTGCATACCACCACTGAACATCAGGAATCATTACAATTATTAAGTAGCAATACTTCAGACACATTCATATCTCTCCTGAGTCAATGAAAGAAGAGAGACAGAGATCAAGGAATACAACTTTCTTCAAGAGAAAGAAAACTGAAAAAGAGATGCAAAAGTTACCATTATCTCTACTGCTGACTGTTGGCACCTCCATCTTCTCCTTTATTCAAGGAGACGCCACCCACTTTGAATACTGCATTCACACCACGTTGGTTTCACAAAGATAGATGCTGAACTAGGGAAAAGAGCACCCTCATATCAGAATACTGCCAGGCATCTTACACTGATAAGAAAGCAGAATTTAAAACAAATGAAGGGGTGGGAAATAATTAGTATTTAAACCATGGGTGTTAAAAATAAGTTAGCATATGAGTCCCACCTGTAAATTCAGCTACCCAGTAGTGTCCAAGATGCAGACAGACAAACCTCAACTGCACCCAACCACAATGCAGTACAGGATTGCTTCAGAGAATTCTATGAACTCCACAGGGAGCTTACCACACTCTGAATTTATACCCTAAAGCATTAAGAACCTATGTATGAAAGCTCTTAAATAATTCAAAATCTTCATTACATCGTAGCTGATTTAACTTCAAATCACACTTGAAGGGTAAAGATACTGTCATGATTAGCAATATTTCAGATTACTCTTAAAGAATTAGTATTTCAACTGGCCACTCAAGAGATAACTTAGACTACAAGTGAAAAAACTAACATCAAACATCTGAGCACCTCAGCCAATAGTGAACTCCAGTGTGGCACAGTGAATGCACTACCAAATTCTGTTAAATACACAGTAGTTTATCCCCCAGATTAATAAAATAAAAAGGTAGCCATTTTCCTCTAGATTGCTCTGTAGACAGAAAACAGCAAAGGTACAAGCAGGAAAAGTATTATCTTGATCTGCTTACAAAAGCAGAAGGCATTACTGTCACTTTTACTGCACTTAATACTTATTTTTAGAACTGGCTTCCTCTCTCTCTTGTTAAATCATAAAACTGCTTTCAAAAGGCAGTGGAAATTAAGGGAGGAAAAAAAATCATAAATGATCAGATTATGACTCAAACATTTTATCACTAAATCTGGGCAATTCATTTCAAATTACTTCTACAGCATACTGAATGGTACATCTTATTGAAATTCTAATCTGAAGACTACTTTTAAAATTATGATTTCTGCTTTCAAAGATTCACAGAAATATAGATTGATCCTCTCCTGGTGCAACTGGGGTTTGAGCTGCAATTATTTAATATTTTTCAATGGTATCAGTTATTTTCCTTTAAGAATTTGCCTTCCCTGTTTTTAAGCTTAGTTGATCTGCCTAAAGAAGGATTTAACAAAGCAGGACATATAGATCTAGTCATGAAAACCTATTTCTTAATCAAGACAAAGCACTTGAAAACAAAGAACAAGATTTCTGGAGATGCTAAAATATTTCAGTTTCTGCTGAAACACAAACAGTATCACTGCCCCTTTAAAATACTCAAGGGATTATTTTTTCCCCATAGAGCATTGCAGCATCTGATATCAGTACAGCTTCCATAGAGAACAGATGTGGGAGCAACTTGAATGTGTTTAGAAATTCTGGACACAGTTTATCTTGAGGGTTAACCTCAGATTTCCCAAAAAACTGGGAAAGCTACTGGAGGGAGATTGCTTGCCTTGTTGGGTGAAACCCTCAGCTACAGCTATCAGCGTTCTAGGAATGAACATGCAGTAACCTTTCTGTCCATTGCTGTCATCTTAAACCACAGTTTCTGCTTACACTAACAGAAGCGGCATTTAAACATCAAAATCTGTCAAGTTCTGAACCACAGCTCTCCTCAGTCATTTAAATTCATAGCCATTTCATATTTACACACAACTAAAGGAAAGCAGCTTCCAACTGTGAAGCCTGGTTTCAGAAGCTGTCAGTAGCAACCGATGCTGCAAAAGTCACTACCAGAAGACGAGTGGCCTCTTTAGAAAGAGACCAGCTGGATTGCTTGCTTAAGGGCAAAGGTCAGAGTTCAAATAAACGCAGAACCACTATTGTGCCTTTATTTCCTAAGACTTATATCCACATAGATATAAGGCCAGAGCTCAGGGTCTCCTCATCCAGAGAGCTAAATAAATTAGATGGAAATTCTTGCTAAAAGGCTTACCTGACTAATCTCCCAGGCAGTATAAAGGCCTTCCTATTCACGTGTATTGCAAGGAATTACAGATGCTCACTAATAGACAACATTTCTCTTTGCCTGTTGTTAGAGACAGAACTGGATATCCACACTGAGAGTGTCAGAATTTGAGTCAAAATGAGTCAGTCAGCTCAAGTCTGCTAATATCAGTTATCCCAAATCTGGGCTACTTCTTCAGCAGCAGAGTATAAAAATTCCTTGACCCCAACTGTCAGACAGACCAGGCCTTACTGATACAAGGCTAGAGCTGCAAGGGAACCTAAACCCTATTTTAATAAAGTTCCAGAATTGTCTTTTAAGTGGACAATTTAGAATCTTGTCAAGCCTCTAAAGGGGACAACATCAAAGAACAGAACATCCAGAACATCACTCCCTCTGCTCTTATACACTGCTTTGATTAATATGACTTGAGCACTTTTTACAAGGAGAACTACTCCTATCTTTGAATTTGCCAAAATTAATCATTTGGCATATTGAAGACTGCAAATTAGCTTGAGGGCAGAAAACATTCTGAGAAAGCTTTTGTTACAAATGAGCCACTCTAAATCACCAAACTGAGTAGGCAATAAATGGTAGGGAGAGATATCAACAACTCAAACCACATGCCCTGATCAGGACTTTTTGTTCTGCATTAAATAAGCTTAATCAGGCCAGTGTTATCACTGAAGTCTGACAGCTTCTTCTCTAGTCAGTGTAAAGAACTGTCTTGCTTTTTGAAACCTTAAAGTGTTTTAGCTACAACAGCAACCCTAAATATTAGTGAAATAACACATTTTAAGCCTTGAAACCATTTATCCTTATCTCATCCCAAGCACCACTTAATGCAAGTCAGAGGGAGTAGTTAAAAAAAAAAAAAAAAAAAGACTGAAAAAGTGTTACGTTCACACCAGGCATTCTGTGAGATTTTACAGAAATCCTCGATACCAGAAATCACAGAAATCCTGCATACATGAGGTAATTTATGCTGTTACTCTCTGTACTCAGATCTATCCAGTGGTGGTTCATTCTGCTTCACTTTAAAGCAGAACCTTAGAGCTGCAGTGGTGGCAAGCACCTTGTTTACATGGGGTAAGAACTGCCAAAACATCGTTCCCCAAAAGAGCAGCACTCAGAGAACACTCAGATGCAGCACACTGCAGTCATGAGGGGCAGCCAGCTTTACTTCCAGATGTTTACTTGCCAACAGCTCGGGCTTACAGAAAAGAAACAAAACAACCAAAAGCCCCCTAAAAAAACAACCTAACACTGTACTGATACCAAATCAACTTAGAAGTACATGGCTAGGTTGTGCAAGGAAAGGATTTGTTTTACAGTCCTGTATCAGTCACACATTTTTTAACATTATCTTTCAACATACCAGAACAGGTAGTTTCTTAACCTACTTCTGAAAACAAGAACAGTTTTGTGAGAATTAGGACTGAGGAAAACATTCCCTTTCAAGATCCTACTCCCCATTCATATACCCCCCCTAATATTCAGCTAACAAGAATTAAACAGGTATCAGAAGTTTAAATAGCTTTACTATAGCCATGAGAGGAAACTAATTTCACATGTACATGGAAGAAATGCATCCTTGCAGTACAATGGTTTCAGTACAGTGCAAATTTTCTTACCTGCAAACCCCAGAGAATACGCCATGTTCAGCTCATGCAGAATTTCCAGAGGGAAAGAGTATTTGTTAGATGTTAGTACAGCAAGTAACCTCACTGCCCCAGCTAATCTATGGACATCCTCTCCTTTCTAATCCGCAGAAACCTAACCTTAGAACTACTCATTACCAGGGAGAAGAGAACAAATCCCCTTAACCCTTTTCTTGCATAAAAAAACTACTTTACATCATCTCTCACTTAAATAGTTTCTTATACCTATCAACTTTCCCAGTCAACAGGGTGCTCATCACTTGGGGGTCTGTCTGCAGCTACCATGCCTGTGATTGCAGTGAGAATCTGTAACACCAGAATGTTGATCTTCTGTGGCTGGTTACAGGATTTCTGCAGCAGCACAGGAAATATCCGGATTTCCATTTAAGAAAAAAAAAAAAAAAAAAGAGAAAAAGTAATTACCCTGAAGCAATCCAGCTGGAAAGGTCCTCCAGGTTAACTAATTTCTTTGTTAGTTACAGCAATACAAAAATCAAAGCTGGTCTGTACTGATTTCCTAACGCATCACAGCCCAGATCGGCTGTAAAGTGGAATCTGTGTCAGAAGCACATTTAATCCTGGGATTCTCTTCAGCTAATAACTGAGCTATATGGCAGAAGGACCAAAAATAATCCAGCCCAGACTGTCTGCTTCCCTTAATCAGCCAAGCTAAATTCATACGTGATATCACTACTTTCTCTAAGAGACTGAATGTATATATACTTACCTCTCTCTGTGTTTGTATGTATGTAAAGGCAGATGTCTCCTTTGGGTTTTGTAGTTCTCAGCTTTGCACCATTCACAGTAAATGAAGTTACACCACTGCTACGTATTTGTAGCTACACCTTGTTCTTGAAAGGCAGGAATGTTAAGGAAGAATTTCCCATCTCTAGATGGGAACATTTTTTAAATGAAATTTTAAATGTAATTTTAAAATTACATTTTTGGTTTAAAGCACAGAATCAATGTAGGACTTAGGTCATATGAAACAAAATGTAATATTAAAATACTTTCTTCTGAAATATCAAAATACAATAAATGCTAACTCAAACCAGTTACACGCAGGGGAAAAAATCCCGTATCTGTTTTTCATGGTTACACTCCCACAAAAGGCAAAATAAATCCTGAATTCAGATCTTAGTAATTTTGAATTCTGAATTATTGCCGTTAATTTACTCAGCTATTCGGCATAGCCCCTTTTCAAAGGGCAGTTCTGTTCCTGCAGGCTTCAGTTAATTTCTTTTTAAATGGAGTTCCAAGAAGTGATTGCATGGAAAGGCCGCATCTAGCGCAAGGTGAAGTCTTTGAATTCTGCCTCATCCTTCATTATGCTCTTCATCCCTAGTTATTTGCCTTCCCTCCTTCTCAAGTTAGCTTTTTATAGCTTCCCTTTTATTCATATTATTGCTTAATTTTTCTTGATTTTTTTCAGTGCAATTTAAAAAATAAGATTAAGCCAACACTAAATTGTTTTTAAACATAAAAGTCCACTCTCTATATTCTCTTATCATTATAGTTTGTTGCAAGTTTAACAGTAGTTTTAAATATCATTGTTCCAGAATTACTCTTTCCCCTTCTCTAATAAAACTGGAAATAATTTTGAAAAGACCGATCACTTTTACTTCCTTATGACAACTGCTACGTTACAACTGTTGTTCAACACAACAGTATTTTGGCATATGGGCTCTTTCCATTTCAATGCCAATATACAAGCCACTACCTCAAAATATGATATGCATTATCTATGGCAGCCTAACATAACTTAAGCCATTGTAACATTCTGTAATCTACATTTCCCCTCCCTTTTTTATTTTTTGAGTCAGTCCTGACACCTACAATACTCTAGTTACCCACCAGTGGTATTGGTATAAATGGAGTTAGCAATAAACCACAGAACACAACACACAAACACTCACAGATTCCCCCAGAGAAATTCCTTCTTCTCTGCAGCTTCCGAGGTGAGCTGCTCCAGCAGGCGTGATCAGGATTGAGCTAAGGGACTGCAGGGAGCTTTCCCAAAGTGGGAACACCTTGTAATTAGTGCCAAGAGACACAGCCCAGTGTGTCCTGCTCTGAGTGGAAAGCATGGAAGCACTGAAGCTCTGCCTCAGAGGCAGCTCTGGCTTGTCACAGGCAGAACCAGGAGCGATG